CACGTAATATGAAATATTTAAGCTACCACGAAACGATGGTTTATTAATAATAATAACCTCCAGACCGAAGTACGTTCACGTCGGGCTTACGAGACGGGCCGTCTCGTAAGCCCTGAGTACAATATTTTATTATTTATAGATTCCAAGTAATTCTCATTGAAAATTATTTTATTACTTTTATTACTGGTTCAAAGAAAACCTCTGTCCTGGGAAGAACTAGCAAGAAACTCAGCGGTACTTTTTTTCAGTTATTTCTTTGTATTACTTTTTTTATTTCCTTTTTAGGGTTCCGTAGTCAACTAGGAATCCTTATAGTTTCGCCATGTCTGTCTGTCCGTCTGTCCGTCCTCGCTTAATCTCTGTGACCGTTAGCACTAGAAAGCTGAAATTTAGCACCAATATGTGTATCAATCACGCCGACAAAGTGGTAAAATAAAAATTGTAAAAAAATGTGTTATTAGGGTAGCCCTCCTATATGTAAAGTGGGGAAGTGATTTTTTTTTTTAAATTTCAACCCTAACGTGTGATATATTGTTGGAAAGGTATTTAAAAATGAATAGGGGTTTACTAAAATCATTTTTTGATAATGCCAATAATTTCGGAAATAATCGCTCCATAAGTAAAAAAACAATGTGTCCCCCCCTCTAACTTTAGAACCATAAGTTTAGAAAATATGAAAAAAAATCTGAAAAGTAGAACTTTATAAGGACTTTCTAGGAAAATCATTTTGAACTTGGATGGAAACAACAGTACCCACTACCGGGAGCAGTTGCAGGAGCGTGGAGCGCTGCTGGAGCGCGACATAATGGATACCCACCTATAAACTCATAAGTGGGAACACTTATTGTGACGGACGGGAAAATACGGAACCCTACACTGAGCGTGGCCCGACACACTCTTGGCCGGTTTTATTTCTAAACGTTACCCTTACACTAGAATTTTCTTATGTAATGTTGAGCCAGTTTACAAACATAAATTTCCTATGGACAAGCATTCAAACCTGAAACAATTATTTGTAGGCCATTCAAATACCTACTTGTTCTGTGCGGGTTCGAACCCGCGGCCATTAGCGCTGCATTAAATATGTACTTATTGTACTGTATACTGTATAATTAAGGTTTAAATTATACAATAAGAACTCAGGTTGTATAAACTACCGACAAAATTATTTAAAAAACAGCTTGGACGTGACCATCAATTACAGGGGTTATTATCAAACATAAAGTTAAAGTAAAGTTACAGCCTATATACGTCCCACAGCTGGGAACAGGCCTTCCCTCATTTCTGAGAGGGTTTAGGGCAATTAAGGATCCGCCGCTCAGCCCCGATGCGTGTTGGCGAACTTCACATGTTTTCGATTTTTTTTTTCTTATTCCTCAGACATGCAGGTTTCCTCACGATGTTTTCCTTCACCGCCAAGCAGGTGGTAAATCAGCACTTAAAATTGCAATTAACAATTTCATTGGTGCCAGCGGGGATCGAATCCGGATTACTCGCGTTCTGTTATCAAACATGTATTCATTTATATTATAATAACGCTTTTATACAGTTTTTGTTTAATAAAATATTGAACGCGTATACATTGCCCCAAGGATAAATGACACGTGCACTTTCAATTCCTTCACCATTAAAGACCGGTGAGAGATCAGGCGCAGGACCGACGGCTTTACGTGCTTCCGAGTCATAGGGATAAAACACTACTAATAATAGGGATAAAATACTACCCGACGCCGGGCTGGTACAGAAAACTTTTTGATATAAAAACTCAATGATTGGTCATTTAATTATAATAACTGCTTTTTTGTTCGGACCCGGGAGTCATACCCGCGACCTCGTGTTCAGAAACCCTGTAACAACCACTAGATCAACGAGGCAGTCAAACTGCAGTGATAACAATTTATATTATGTTTTTTTTACATACAGATGCGTCACAATACGCGCATTTCGTGTTCAATGCCGTAAAACACAAGCATGGAGGCAAATTAAGCTTTGAGGTGAGTTTACTTGTGTAATAAGAGAAGAGTGTGGTTTGCAAGATGATGTTGTGACCAGGATTAAGAAAGGAATGCTTCGGTGGTTTGGTCACGTGGAAAGAATGAATGAGGAAAGAGTGACAAAGAAAATTTATGTTGCAGAAGTGAATGGCAGAGTCGGAAAGGGACGTCCTAGGCGAAAATTTATCGAGTAAATTGACGATTTATTGAAAACGGGCCAAATTAGGAGTACCCTTACCCGACGAGCATGTATGCGTAGGTGTATGCATGTGAAGGAGGCGAGAGAGGTGTGTTAGGATCGTGCCAAATGGAAGTCTGTAGTCTCTGCCTAGCCCTCTGAGTTACAGGCGTGAGTGTTTTATGTATTATTATGTATTATGTGAGTTTACTTATGTGACTTGTAACATGGAATATTCGTCATTCTGTGGAATGCCCAAATATTTCAACATACCTAGAGAATAAATTAAAAATACAAAATGTTTTCGATTGAAATTTAAATACTCTATTAAAAATGACATACAATTATTATAATCTCAATAAATAAACTAAAACAAAAAAAACTTTAAAAATCATGCACTCCTACTCCCCACGGTATAATGCCAAGAACACTGACTTTAATTCAAATTGATTGATTTATTAGAGCAACAGCTTTTAAGAAAGGCACGCGTACGAGAATCACACTATTTAATTCCCCTCTCCCCTTTCCACCATCGGACGACCAGACGGTCAGGTGGTCTTCCTTTGTGGTCAATATTTCACGTTATGGAAGCAAACGGTTTGCTTCGTCTTAAGAAATGCTTACAGCAAAGGGGTGGAATAATTTACCGGCGTCTGTATTTACGTTCCATTTTGTTTGACATTGGGTGTCATGAATAAATATTTTGCAGGAATTTCTCGACACGCTGTCACGGGTTGCACGTGGTTCTGTCCAAGAGAAACTCTCCTGGGTCTTCGCGCTATACGATGTGGACGGTGATGGGCGGATCTCCAGGTCAGAGATGCTGGCTGTAGTGCAAGCAGTATATGAACTACTTGGGCGGGCGGCGGTGCCCCCCGTACTTCCGGCGTCTGCTAAGGATCACGTAGATAAAATCTTTGACGTGAGTTCATTTATTCAAAATGAACATTTGAATTGATACATGGTCATCATTCATTACTGCAGCCTGTCAAAAGTCTACTGCAGAACAAAGGTTGAACACAGTTGCCACGCTTCAGAAGCGGGTTGGCAACCGCAGTCTTTTTACCATCATTGAGTTGTTGTCAGGAGGATAACCCGTGGTAGCTCAGCGGTAAATTTGGCAGTACGCGAGTAACCCAGGTTCGATCCCCGCCAGCTCCAACGAAATTCTTAATTGAAATTTTAAGTGCTGATTTACCACGTGCTGGGCTGTAATCATCGTGTGGAAACCTGCATGTCTGATAAATAAGAAAAAAAATCTTCGAAGACATGTGAAGTTAGTGAACACGTAATAGGGCAGCGCGACAGACATTTCCTTGCCCTAAAACCCTCTCAGAAATGAGAGGTCTGTTCCCAGCAATGGGGCGTATATAGGCTGTAGCTTTGACTTTTTTTATAGAAGAGGGGGCAAACGAGCACACGGCTCACCTGATGTTAAGTGACTACCGCCGCCCATGATCAACCGCAACACCAGGGGGAATTGCAGTTTGCGGTCCTTTAGAAAGGAGTAAGCTCTTTTCTTGAAGGTCACCAGGTCGTATCGGTCCGGAAAAATCACCTGTGGTAAACTATTCCACATAGAGGACTTGAACAGGAAGATGACGTTGCCCATCTCCTGTTTCAATTTCCCTTTGCCGTCACTTACGTGATGATGAATAACAGTTGGAGTATACATTTTCTTCATTGGAAGCTGATAGAGTGACTATCTGATGAATTGTATTTCTAATGGCTTTCTGCTAACGCAGATGTTCAGCAATGGACTATTGATGAATAATAATAGATACTTATGATGATGTATCCATCGGTGAGTAGTTTATATCCGTCTCAAATGACCTCTATTTTTGGGGCTGCGTTAAATGTAATTCTGCTCGTGGTACTAAACACTTACAGCGCAGAAACATAGTATAGATTACACAGGTAATCTTGAGCGCATTGTTCTTGCTGATGGTTTTGAAAATTACGAATGGAGTGAGATTGATATTTGTAGCAGTGTGACAGGAAACAGACAAAGCTTAAATTATGGTAATTATAAGAAGCAGGCGTTACTTTGCGGAAATCCATTATACTAAAAATATTAAGAATTACTTTGCAACCATCCGCTCAAAAAATTAAAATGATGTGTCTTACCTAGTTTGAAGAGCATCTCCTGCCCTCCCTCAATTTCGTGCAATAATCCCGTAATTTCATGTAATCCCTTTATTAAATTATGGAATAAAAAGTTTATTTTCCAAGAGTTGTCCGTTGTCGTTATTTATAACACAAAATAAACCAGCAGTTTTAACAGGTATAAGTGCGTAAGCCTTCCCGGAGCATTTCGAATCGTTCTTTAAAATTGCACTTAAGGACTACCTTCATACATTTTTGCCAATAATTTTTTATTAGGTTTCTTATTGAAAAATATATTTTGTTTCAATAAAAAAATAATATAATTCTACGTTTATGATCTCTAAAGGTGTTCAGTATTTATAAAGGATTTAAGTGTTTGTTTTAAGGATTTGCTTACAGGTGGATCAAGGGGGGAGGTACTGCGTTAACTGAAACTGTGAGAGTGAAAGGCACAAAAGACTCATCATTTTAGTGATGAAATCTATATTTCAGCCACTTTCATAAACGGACATCGAGAATTCGATCAAGAATCGAGATCTCGATCTCTAACGATTGGCTTCAGGAGTTACAAATTTCCTACTTATAGCCTATTAAAAGACCACTGCTGAATATAATCCTCCTCCATAGATTGCCATATAAGGAGAATGTAGTTGCGAGGAAGTAGGATTTATGACCAGGAAGATGCTGTTGCCCACTACCTGTTTCGTCACACGATATGGGATAGCGAATTCTCTTACAGCTGGACTTAGTTTTAACTTTTTGTATAGTTCTTGCAATTCATAAAGTCGAGCGAGGTTCAGTCCAGGCTTCGAGCATACCGTCGCTGTGATCTCATGCTGGATACGTACGATCTACGTATGCAGATTCGTGTTTACCACAATTAAAGTCCACTCGAATTCGTGAATCGCAAGAACTTATGTATACGTGGTGGAGCCATGTTGCAGATGTATTGTGGTTCTAGAACGAATGAGTTGGATCGACCGGGAAGGACCACGCTCTCATAGAGTACTGATGTAAAATAGCAGCTCAATGCTGCTATGTTTCGTATGTTGAGTGTAAAGAATCGGAGACCCCACTTACAAGAAACGAGACATTCAACAAGGACCTCTCAAAGGCGACAATGCATCTGCACTTTAATTCTTAATCAAGGATCGATGTAGATGTTTATGGGTGACACCTACCGCTTACCGTCAGGTGGGCTGTGTGCTTACTCGTAACATATGTTCTATAAGTGGAACATTGGTCCAGCTGATGGACACGAACGGCGACGGCGTGGTGAGTCCGGAGGAGCTGGCACGCTGGTGCGCGCGCGAGCCGGTGCTGCTGCAGTCGCTACAGACGTTGGACACGGTGTTGTGATGCGCGCCACCGCCTGGGAACACAAGCAGGTTTGTTCTGCAGCAGTAGAGGGTGAAACACCGTCGCTGTCCTGTAGTGTCACGGCCAGTTTGGTTTCGGTTCCTTATCGAGGATAAATATATTTTGCCTGTCTGGAAGAATTTGCTATCAGCAATAAGACCGCATATTGCATATTTCGTTGTTAAGTTATTTTGTATGGTGTGCAATAAAGATTATTTATTAACAAATAAATAAATAGCTGTAGATGTGCATGATTTGTGCTGTGTTTGGCACCCTTATTCTAGAAAAAAATATTTTTCTTAAATATTAGACTATTCCAACCATCAATCCATCAAAAATTTGATACATGCAAGCGTGATTTAGAAATAGAATAGGGTGTACAGATCAAGTTTTTTCCATGCTCATTATCACGGAGAAGTTTTTGGCCAAAAAGACTGAGTGGACAAGAATGTGTTGTGGTAAACACTGAACTCATTTCGGTTGAGCGCTGAGTGCTGGGTGATACAGACATTAAAGTCTCTTTATGGGGACTCCAGTGCTTGTGTAAGGATGAAAGTTTATCGACCAAATTGGCGATATATTGAAAATGGGCCAACTTAAGCATACCCATAACCGAAGAACATGTATGCGTAGGTATATGAATGTGGAGGAGACGAGAGAGGTGTGTCAGGATCGTAGCAAATAGAAGTCGGTAGTCCCTGCCTACGCGTCTGGATGATAGGCGTGAATGTTTATGTACATGTTACATGTATATATTAGAATTAAAGCTCAACGCTGAAGATGGGCCTCTTGCGTTGTATTTGCCTCGTTCGTCAAGCTTGGTACGAGGAAGCTTCGTCCAGACGTGAGTACTTTAACGCTGCTGTCCGTCTCCAGTTTGAGTATTTTTCGTTTGACGTAAATGATATGTTCATACCGCCATCTGTTGGACTCGATAAGATTTTTATGGCGATTTCCATAGTCGACTTATAAGACACCTACACAATGTTGTTTTGAGGGACACTTAATTTTTTATTTTACGGTAACTAAACAATCGTAGAAGTTATAATGTTTTGTTGTATTTTAAGGAACAATGAAGCGCAGGCGTCCTGTTCTAAAGTCACCAATCCTAGTGATATCCCTTCTTCGCCCGCACGCCTTAAGACGATGGTATGAATCACGTTTTTCATTATTTATTCCAAAAAATTATGCACATTACTACAGTTTAGTAATGTTCTAGAGGGGATTTTCACTTTTTTTCAATTTGTTATTGTGAAGAGTTTTAGGCTGGCTAGGTTAAGTTCCTTTTAAACCTTGAAAATTTTTGATTATTTATTTAAGATTTATGTTTTAGTTAACTGAAGAAGCAGCACCTCGCAAGGCGAAACGACGTGTTCTACAATCATTTTCATCTCAAAAGACGCGGTGAACCAAGTTAGACTAATAAGCTGTATGTAGAGTTCAAATGGGATCACTTTATTGTGCTCTTACTACGTTGTGTAATCTAGGACTCGTTAAGTATTATAATAAAACTTGTGAAGGCGACGGATTTTGGGGACCTAAATGATGAAAAATTGTTATTCATAAGATTTGAATCTCTTTAATTCGCTTATTTTACTACCATACGTTGGTAGTAATTATTACTAATTTTAATAAAAATATTCTTTAAAATCAATCTAATATCGCTTAGTTTTCAAATGAAAGAAACGGAAAAAATAGGAAATTTAGAAGTTACATATTATATAATTATAAGTAATTCAAAATGTCGACTTTTTATCGCGTTTATATTTTTAAGCTATGTTTAAAACTTTCAAGTCATTATTTCATCTGGAAGTTAGTTTACAATTGATTGCAAAATGTTTTCCAAAGAAACAAACAAACAAATATTCAGACAATTGAGTTTACTGTCGTCCTGTTTTGAGATATATTTAAAATGTCCTCAGCCTATATAAAAATCTACTTAACAGAAAAACAAGCAAACTGATAGACAAGTAAGTGAGTTTATCTTACATTTTCATCTAGTTCTGAGCTGTATTTAAAGAGTCTAGTATTTAGCTCTTTAGACAATTATTTTAAAATCGATTAAAAAATTTACACCGAACATACAATCAGAGAAGGAAGCGAGTTGATATAAACGTGGTAAAAGTCTTATATTTTATAAAATACGTCACGCTTAGTTTAGTTTAAATGACTGCGTGTCTAAAGCACTCATATATTAAAATCAAATCTGCTTTAAGTAACCGACGAAATAACTGTCATAACAATAAGTACAAATATAACACAATTGTTTTGTTAAAGAAGGTGAACATTGTTTTGTTTATTTTACACATTACATTTACAGATGAACCCACAGAATTAATGACTGAGCTCAGTTTGAAATCATTGACCCGTATATCCAAACTTGAACACAGTCTTTTTTAGCAGTAGGTATTCAAACCAAACATAACAATATATAAAATACCATCATCTTAGATGGTTTCTTATACTTAAGCAAAATCGCAAAACACAAACATGAAGGTAA